TTTTTTTTTAAAAATTTCAATTTTTTTTTTTGTTTTGCAGAGCTCAACAAAAATTCAATGTATCATTTGAAGTGATCACCGGTTTTGATGATTTTGCACAAAAGATACATTTTAGCGGCGATTTGGTGTGTAAAATTGAACTTGGTGGAAAGTAAGTTGTTGCTGTTGTTGTTGCTGCTGCAATGTTTCCTAAATCAATTTTTGAACTGTCATTAACTGTAACGAGAAAAAAAAATTCTGTTCTTTTTTTTTCTTTTTTTTTTTTTGCTATAAAATAAATTTGTGGGTTGTTTGAACAGTTTTTATTGGATGTCTTTTAATGTACAGCTAATGTGATGTTTAAACAGAGACTTTTAAAGGTGTATGTTGATTTTTTGCAGATTTATGTTGGCATATGCAACTGCTGAAAATTCGTATAATCGTTTAAAAAATTATAAGGGTAGATTTCAAGAAAGAGCAGAAAAAGATTTACAAGTTGAACGTGTTACAATTCGCCCAGCTGATGACAGTGTTACAATACGAAACTTACGACGACCAGATTTTAATCCTTATGATAGACCGAAAATAAGTGCTGAAGCTGATATGCATTAAACAGTCATTTACAGTTTACAAGATTAATTTGGTAAACAGTAAAAAAAAAAAAGGTGTTGAAATAATGATTTATAAAAACAGAAATTAATATTTGTAATAAACGGTCAATGTGCAAATATAAAAATAGATAAACTAACTTAACAGTGGTAAAAAGAAAAACTATATCAATGTTAACTAATTCTTAACTGTTCTGTATTTTTTTTTTCTTTTTTAATGCCTACAAATGTTGAATAAACTGTCTGTAATTGTTTAAAGACACTAAAATGGAGAGATATATTCATCGCTGTATAGCCGTCAAATTGTAAAGAAATGAAAAAAAAAACAGTCAGTCAGGCACCCACTGTTAGCAGCAATTCTTTAGATTGATATCAGTGAAACGTAAGTGAAAATAATATTGGTTGGTATGCTAAAAATAATATTGTTTAGAACGCATTCATAAAAATGTGCTTAAAACTGTTTAAAAAAAAAAACAGAAACAGTCGGATGTTAAAAAATTTGATTTAAACGTGCCCAGTTGAACGATACAGATTTTGACATAAGTGCTGAAATTTTGAAATTTTGATAAGCATTTTGATAGCCTAAATTCTTAGTGTATATTTGGTGCTTGTTTTAGTTCAAAAACGAAGAAAGTTTATACAAAAAAAGGAGATTTTTATTTTTTACAAATATTTGGTAAAGTTTTGATTGTATTCTTGAACTGGAAATATCTTAAATAAAAGTGTTGATAAAAGCGATTAAATAGGTTGCTAAAGCAGAAAAAAAAAAAAAAAAAAAAA